TTCTAAAAATCACTATTTAAAATATTGTTTTGGCCAAATAAGGGCAACAAACAGGGGATTAAATAAATAGAACTCCCTAAATCACTTCTTGTACTTGTTTAGCAAGCACTTGAAGTTGAACTCCATCCATAACTAAAAATCTTCTTCTTCCAAAGAACACAATGACTACTCCCGAAGATCAGAAAACGTGATTTCAAAACAATTAGAAAGTTTTTGTTTTTCCCAAATTTTTTCGCAAACCTCTATGAGATGAATAGTCTTTTTTGTACAATTCCAAATGTGAAGTAAGTCTCTTTAACTTAGTTGTGAAATCGAATTTTCCAATTATAATGAGAAATCTCTCATTTTATTGACATATTTTGTGCATATCTCTTGGGAAACGATAATGCATGAAGACAATGATAGATTGTAAAAAATTTGGTTTCAAAAAATAAATTGTAAGATAAGTCATGTTGCAACATGACCGAATCAGTTTTCTGAAATCGAGAAATTCCTTGTTCAAATTAATCTTCAAGAATTTTTAATTCTAATATCATATTTTTCTTGTTATGATTGACTCGATAAATAACAATTTGGAGTTTTAACTCCTTCCCATTTTTATGATGCAAATAAGTGCTGCTTACAAAAAATTAGATAGGATAAGCTATGCTTTTAAGGATGACTATATTTTGTAAATAGTAAAAGTGGAGTATTGTAGGGAACTCTTTATAGGACATCAGCTATGTGAGTGCGAACTTGGCCGATTCTACGAGAAGCACTTGCAGAACTAAGAGGATTCAGAGCCGAAATAATGAACACAATAGAGAACCAAATTTTGATATGAGATTTAATGTGTTCGATCTATTGTATAGACTTACAATAACGATCGACATTTCAAAACGCTGCGTTCAATAATTAGCCAATAAGTCCGATAAATTCTTACTAGGAAATGTTCAAAGCGAAAGCTACAGATCCTAATGCATCATATTCCAATTGTACTATTCTTCGTCTTTCTTGTTCTTAGTCGACTTCTTCCATTCATGTGGAGGATTGTTGAAATATTTGGCATTATTTATAGTGAATTAGAATAAGTCTCCAATAGGTACAACTCTTCAATGAAAATGATGCATACAAATAGTCATGTTCCTTAGAATAGATATGACTATTTAAAAGGTGCACGATGAAAAGACATGACCATTTGATAGGACATATACTACACCATTTAATGTGAAAAGATATAGTCTATGTTAAAAGATGCAACCATTCAAAAAATCACTTGAAAATCTATAAATAGAAATCTTTTTCTCGTACTCCAAATCAATTCTATATAATTGATTTCTAATTATTTCCTTCTCCAAATTATGTCAAAATAATTTCAAATTATTTTTACGTTTCGTATTCGATATCTTCTATTTTAGAAGCATAGAATCAAAAGTCGGTTCGCCCGACAAAATTAATATTGTACTAAATTAATTTTGGAAAAAAACATTGTATCTTGGTAGACGGATGTCCATTTGATCATGTTAGCACCAATGTAAGGGGCGAAATCTGTTTTAAAGATATTTGCATTCACATATCTCATTTCATTTATCCCTTCGATTTTTGCCTTTTTTTGAGTAAGTATTTGCTCATTATTATGCATGTACTATGATTTGGTAAGTCATTACTCCAGTATTTGCATGCAAATATTTTTTATTAACGAAATATAATTCATGCACTAATTTATCCAACACTATCATTATAAGAAACTCCTCTTTTGACACCTTTTAGCAAAACACTGGTGTTAAGCTTATCTAACCCAAACGCCAAAGTCCTTAAACAACAGTAGTAGATAGTGACTTCGTATCTGCAATCATATCCAAGGAACAAAAGATATTATTGGTAACAGTATATCTCCTCATTTTTGTCAAAAGAACTAACGTACATGAATTCGTGGACGAACTTACGAATCTAATAGTTCTTTACATTCTGAGGCGTTGAAGTGGTGAATATAGTAACTACCTGTTTACTTTTTAGAGAAGGGATATGATGTGAGAGGTAAAAAAATCAATTATCCTTTAATAATAACCAATTCAAGTCACATTCTTATCTTATATAAATCAATCATTATTTATTTTCATATAAAAATATTGAATTATGACCTAAATTCTGAAAAAAAAAAACTTATCAAACTTCGATATTTCTGTATATGTAATCTAAAGTATGATAATTACGATTTTTTCATATAAAATATTATTTGCCAAACAAAAAATTGCAAGCTTTTTAGAACATTGCATTATTAGATTACTTGTTAATTGTTATTGCACGATTAAAAGATAATAATCATTTTTTTCCTTCTTTCCAGAGTTTCATATGTAGACTCCTAAATTTGTGGGATTTTCAATTATTATAAGCTAAGAAAGACGGTAAGATATGAATAATACTATTTATAGTGAAGACTATCATTAGTCGTCTTACGCGGCATACATGTGACAGTTTGTTATTTGATACATAAATGTGATATTTTTTTATTATCTCATGCATCAAATAACAAATTGCCACATATATACCAAATGAGACGACTAACAGTAGTCTTCACTATGAAAACATTATTCGATAAATATAAAAGGTGGTATAAATTTAAATAATAAACGGTTATAAATTTTATAATAGTTTGCGAATGCTCATTCTATCTCTACAACCCTACTTATCATGATTATATATTCATGCATCCCTAATTCTTACCTATAAATATAGGGTTTCGATTTTCAACAAAATACTCACACGTCAATTGACTCTCCCTAATTTCTTTTCTTTTTAATTCATAATATTTTATTAGCAGGATTTTCTTTTTATAGGGATAATATCACCATATTTTTCATTCAGGCCCCGTTCGGTAGGGATTAAAATCCAATTAAAATTGAAAATATGACCGTTATTGGGTCTCACTCGTCTAATAAAAGTCAACAATAACAGCTATTTTTTCAATTTTAATCCTTACCGAACGGGCCCTCAAGATTTAGAGTTGCATACTAGAAGTTTTCTAGATCTGTCAAACATGAACTCCATTCAAGAATTATGAATTTCTCAACATTTTAAAGTTTTGTCGAACATAAAAACTTCATTTGTATTTTGTAAGATTGGATGCATATGGAATCTAATAATTTTTTCTTTAAATTTGCTAAATCTTCTAATTTAACTATTGCTTCCAAAGAAGCATAAATTATTAAATATCAATAATATTATTGAAAAATATTGTTTTATTATCTTTATATGAATATTGCATCGTAGCTTTTGAAAAGCACAACTTTATTGATAAATACATATGAGAGTATTACATTATTGCTCACGAAAAAGAATAACTTCTATGAGTAATACTAATTGTACATCATTGTGTCTATGCTAATTTACAGATACATGACATGAAAGAAAGATAAACCAAAAGAGAAAAAATAGACTGAAAGAAAATAAACTCAATTATTACAATCTTTCTATTTGTTCTATCTCATCTATCTATAGGGATAATATCCCAAATTGTCACTAAACTTTGCAAAAGATTTTCAAGGGGTAATTGAACTTTAAAAATCACTTCATTCATCACTGAACTTTACATTTTGTAATTTTGTTTGTCATCGACCTCACAGTTCGTCCAAAACTTGACTGAATGCATAAGGGGTTGATGACATGGCCGCATACCTGGTTTCATGTGTCTATTGGTGGATGCCCAGACCACAAAAAAAAAAAAAAGAAAGAAAGAAAGAAAGAGAGAAAATCTGAAATGAATTTAACCCCCAAATTCCTCCACCTTTCCCGTCTCTCTCTCACAACGCATAGAAGAAAATCCCCAAATTCCTCAACCTCCACCTCGCGAAGAACCCTAAAACCCAAATCCCAAATCAGAACTCCTATAAGTAAACTATTAAAAATAGGGAAATAAGAAAATGCATAAATATATCCAACATGCACAGAAACTTACATAAGAGAGTGCTCCAATAGACAAATTCACTTCTTTAAATATCCAGCATTCACAGAAACTAAGGGTCTGTTTGGTACAAATT